TGCGGTAGCTCTCTCTCCGTCCCGGCCCCCCCACTCCGCCCTCCTCCTCCTCCCGCTAGCAGGCAGAATACGTGGATGCAGCGGAATCCGTGACGTCACGCCCCCCTGACGCGGTTGCGTGCTTACGCCTGTGACGCGATTGGCCCGTCTCTCCCCCCCCCCACACCGAAGGCGAACCACGTGGGTGCCCGTATATATATGAGCTGCTGACGTCGCAGGTGAGAGCAGCGCTGTTTGAGAGCGGAGCGGACGCGTTGTTATAACCGGACACTGAGCGAGTGAGAAGATACACCTAGAGTGGTCTTCAGAGGAAGCTGAAGAGAAAATATTGTTTTGTTTTGTTTTTCAACCCTCCGTGTTTACATTGGATATGTTATCTCGGCTCAACATTGGCATGTGACTGAGGCCTGGCTGTGATCTCACTTACTGCAAAATGAGGGGAATTGTCACGGTTCTCCACCGGTGACGCTTTTAAAAACAATTATCGCACAATGCCACATTCATCCTACTCTATGCTACGTCTGAAGTAAGCGATGCTGCAGTCAAGAGATGAATTAAACCTAATTGCAAAGTGCTTTTCTTGGTCTGTTATTGTAGAAATAAATATCAAATAAAATAAATATCTTGGATTTAAGTGTTAAGGGTCATAACTGCTTATTTACGTTGTGGTGAGAATCTAGGATGGGAAATGCTTTGTTGGCCACCACTGTCGGTATCTGAATGAGTGACCCAAGTGGTTGCATAACCTATAAGCCCGCAGCATTAGAGGTCTATGCCCAACACGCAAATCTACCCTATAACAGCATATGAAGAACTCAAAAAACATCGGATTACAGCTCTAACACAGATATTTCCTCCTCATTTTGTTATTGTTTGTGGTGAGTGATATGTGTGTGTGATGCTCTCCCTCTCAAAGACATGTTTCCTCTCTCTCTCTCTCTCCATCTGCAGCTTTCATCAAGGAAAGAAAAATGGGGCTGAATGACTTCATCCAGAAGCTGGTGTCTACACCGCATATCTGCCAACAGTGAGTGTTTCCATTAAAAAGATATTTCACTCTAATGGGGGGATGAATGTTAGACGTGGATGGAAAATTGGCCCTACAAAGAGCATCTCTGGGCATCGGTTACTTCCTGGCTCTGATCGTTAGCCCATTCATGATCAACGTCCAATCCAATCAGCCACCTGAGTTTGGCAGGACATCCTGTGAACAGTATAATCTGGGTCCAAGAAGCCAGGGCAAGAATAGTCCTTTCATGACGAGCCGGTTAAGAACCTCCCCACTCCCTAATCACCTTCCCAGTAAATCCGCTCTGTCCCCTAGACTAGGATAAACCGGTAATTCAGTTATTACATGATACATGGCTCGTGCCACCACAGTGTCCTGAACTCCCAGGGTCAGCACTCCAGGTCGGGGTCTGGTGCTGTGGAAAAATACCTGTGCGCTCCATCTGTCCCCCTCCAGATGCCCTGTGAGGGATCTGAGCTGGACCGCTGAGTCCTGCAGAGACGCCCGAACCCTTCCTGTTGTGGGTCAGCGGCTAAGCTTTTTCTCAGACGCGCTAGGCTTGTTAGACGCCGATGAGCCTGTCCTAAACTTGACCTTTCTGGATGCTTCACACGGTCATTCACGCCCCAGCAGGGCAGCGTTTCATTCAGCTTAGAGTTCAGTGTCTCCAGATCGTGTGATTTCGCAGACTAAACCGTATTGTGAAACAGATAATAGCTGATATCAAAATCCATCTCACAACCAGTTCTTTGTTGTTGTTTTTTCCAGTGTTGAAGTGAACAACTTCCTGAAGATTGATGAGAATCAAAACGAAGAGGTTGAAGATGATGAACTTCCTCAAAGTCTGGTAAGCACTGACTGTTTACTGACTGTATGACTCATTTTCTTTCCAAAACAAGGAAATGTATTCATACATTTCCCCATGTCGTATCTTTCAGATGTACCTAAATTCACGCAGTTCCCTGGCTGAAGAAACTCAGTAAGTAGCCTCATAAAAAACTCTTTATTTTTAATGTATGCAGCAACACTTTCTAAAAACACATACACCTTAATATGTGTCAATAAAGATCCTAATCATCTCTTCGTTCCTCTACATTAGGATCAAACCCTGTGATTTTGACTACCTCAAAATCATCGGCAAAGGCAGCTTTGGAAAGGTGAGTCTGTCTAACTTCTCTTTTATGTAAATACTGTCTCTTATCTGCTCACATCCATCGGCACCCCTGACGCACCCATCCTGATGCATAATTGTCATTAGGTTTGATGGCTGCGGAAAGGTCAAAATATTACGCTGTCAAAGTGCTACAGAAGAAAATCATCATGAAGAAGAAAGAAGTAAGCCCTTTTTAGATGTGTTTTCATCCCATATCATGAACTTAAAGCTCCTCAATCACCTCAATCCATATTCCTTCTGCTTTATAATGTCATTAACTTCTATATATTCCATCTACAGCAAAAGCATATCATGGCTGAGCGCAGTGTGCTGATGAAGAACATCAAGCATCCATTCCTGGTGGGGCTGCACTACTCCTTCCAGACTACTGACAAGCTGTACTTTGTACTCGACTACGTCAATGGCGGAGAGGTGAGTTTAAATCTCACAACGCCCAGAAAATCGAAGCAGAAGCTCCAAACTAGAATCAGAATAATATAAAAAAGTAAGTTTCAAGCTGATGTTGACAGATGTTTGTCTGTTTTCTCTCCAGCTGTTCTACCATCTTCAGAGAGAGAGGATCTTCCTGGAGCCCAGAGCCAGGTTCTACGCTGCTGAAATTGCAAGTGCACTTGGCTACCTCCACTCCCTGCACATTGTCTACAGGTAATGAGCGATCCTCCACCGCCACCTAGTGGACATACATTAGCATGTCACTGAATTGAACTGAAGGCATGACTGCGTAGGAGTAACTTTAAAGCTTTTGAGTCATTTTTGTAAACTCTTTCTTCCTTTTCTTCACAGGGACCTGAAGCCTGAGAACATCCTGTTAGACTCACAGGGCCACATTGTCCTCACAGACTTTGGCCTCTGCAAAGAAGGTGTTGAGGCCAATGGTACAACAACAACCTTCTGTGGGACGCCTGAGGTACAAAAAACCAAATCTCCAACCTTTCATACATCATCATTATCAACACAGAAACTCCACCAAGGAGGAATTATAACTGTCAGACATGAGTTGACTCTTTCTTGTTGCTTTCTCCGCAGTATTTGGCCCCTGAGGTTCTCCAGAAGCAGGCGTATGACCGCACAGTGGACTGGTGGTGTCTGGGATCGGTGCTCTACGAGATGCTCTATGGACTCGTAAGTGAAATCTATGACTTTATACCTCTTTATGCAACTTAAACATGTTTGTGCGTTAAAAGAAACTTAATTTGTTGTTGCGTTTGCTTTACAGCCCCCGTTCTACAGTCGCAACACAGCCGAGATGTACAACAACATCCTGCACAAGTCCCCCGTCCTCAAGCCCAACGTGTCAAACTCGGGCAGGGAACTGCTGGAGGGGCTCCTGCAGAAGGACCGGACCAAGAGGCTGGGAGTGAAGGATGACTTTGTAAGTGTTGTAACACAAATAACTGCAGGAGATCCGTGAAGCTTGTTTGCCATCAGCCTGCTGATCTAGTATTTCTTTTTCCCTCCAGCTTGAACTCAAGTACCATTCCTTCTTCTCTCCAATCAACTGGGAGGATCTGATGGCCAAGAAGATCACACCTCCATTCATCCCCTCAGTGGTAAGTTCAAGCTAGGGCTGTAAATTCTGATTTCTTTTATCATCAATTAATACATTTAGTCTATATAATGCCAGAAAAAATTTGAAAATGGCATAATTCTTTAGAGCCAACTCGTCAGTCAGTGGTTCTCCCTTTTGAAAAGCTAAAATATTCAAGTTGCATCACCCAAGAAATTTCATTAATCATTACCAATGTTAGGGTAAACAACTAATACAAAGTATCCAAGTTGAATTTTTGTGAAATAAATAATTAGTTTTATGTAGTTCCCTTCATAAATAATATTCCATCAACTTAGATTCACTCCATATTTTTCCCCTGATCCTCCACACACCTCCTGCAGTGGCTCTATGCCCCACCAGGGGGCGCTGCTCCACAGTTTGAGAACCACTGATCAAAGTCAGCTGTTAAAAACAATCTAAAATCCTTTACTGTAGGACTGCAAGTGACAATTACCTTGATTATCACTTCATATAGAGATTAGTCGATTAATTGTTTGGTCCATAAACTGTCAGCTAATAGTGAAAAATTACCTTCACAGTTTCAAAACACAACGATATTCAATTTAGTATCACATGAGACTTAGAAATCCATAAAATATGCAAATTTGAGAAGCTAGAAAAAGTGAATTATTGCCATTTATGCTTAAAAATGTCTCGTCTTGTTGTTGACTAATTGTCTAACTACTTAATCAAAATCATATAAACACTGAACTGAGTAAATCTTCACATTTAAGAAGCTGGAACCAGCAAATGTTTGGCATTTTTGCACAATCAGTGACTTAAACATTCAGTATATTACCAAATTACAGCGGCATGATTCATCTATTTAGTTACATGTCTAATTCCTGTCCGTCCTGCTTGGTTTCACAGAGCGGACCCACAGACCTCCGACACTTCGACCCCGAGTTCACCCACCTGCCCGTGTCCTCCTCTCTGTGCACCGAGACCCTGACTGTGACCAGCAGCGTCAAGGAAGCAGCCGGAGCTTTTCCAGGTTTCTCCTACGGACCGCCAGCAGACCACCACTTCATGTGAACGCCAACATCTCTGCGCTCCTGTCCGGGGGGTGGGGGGGAGATAAAAGCTCTGCATTGAGATTTTAACCCAGAGGGGGGACGTTTCTGATAAGCCTGATAAGTTAGCCGGATCTAACTGACAAAATGGACACGAATACCAGGGGAGGGAGGAGAATCTTGTGCATGAAAAGTGTACAGATGAGGGAGGGGGAGGACTCTCATGTTACAACACCACCGGCCCTACTCTTCTGCCTCAAGCACCTAACATTAAAATATACGTGTGCCAAGTATGGATGCACTGTGGGGTCGTTAACACACGTCTGATGGCTCTGGACCTCCCAGCTGCTGGCGAAGTGACGTGAAGAAAGAAGTGCCTGAGGTTCGAAAAGGCAGTTTGGACGGCAGCAACAGTGTTATCAAAAAACATTTTACTTGTTTTTTGTTGTTGACCTGGGACGCTGGCTGTTAAGGGTTGATGCCTTCATTTCGTGTCTACATATGTTAAAACAGTTTTTTCCACAATGCGTTGTTACCGTCGTGTAAATGCTCGATTGAACTCGAAGAATGGTCAAGAAAAGTGATTCGTTCCACTTTTAAGCATCAGCAAAACTGTGGATTAGACGGCTGCATATCTTTCCACTTTTTATTTTCATATCTCTAGTTCGGACAAAGAAGTAACGGCTTCAATAATGTACACTAATAGTGACATGTGGACCAAACTGTTAACTATGGTACGCTTTAAAACAGACAAAACGGTTTGTCCTCATAAACTGAAGATCAAACTTTTACTGTACTGTGTAGAAGAGAAGAGTTACATATATTTTATTGCAAAAACCAAAAGGTTTTCCTTGTTTTAATGACCACAAACATTCTGTTTTTACTTTTAAGAAAGCATATATTATAAATGAGTTATACATGTATATTAATATATATATATATATATATATATATATATATGAATAGATTAAATTATATTTCCTGTAAGGCAATATATATTTTATTTTTTGTTTTTTTTCATTTACAACCAGTGACTGTGTTTATCTATATCTGCTGTTGGCAAATTTAATGGAAGACTGCTCTTATTGATCAGGAGAGTTCAACCAGCAATAACAGGCCCACATCAATGATAGCACATACTGTAATATCAGTCGTCTTTCAAAATTTAAGTGATTGCTGTTTTTTTGCAAACACTCCAGACAAACTCTAGAATCTGTGATAACAAATGTTTTTTTTGTTTGTTTTTTTTGTATTTATGCATCATATAGAGAAGAACTGTGAATGTCTTGTGCCTGTCCAAGGCGGCCTGATCCATATATACTGTATGTACATATCTCTTCTCCCTACAAACCTCTTTGTCCCTTTTTTCTAGAAGATAATGTGTATGAGAAAGTGCTTCATTCATTGTGGAAAAGAACCACTAGGTGGAGCAGGCGCTGGCTGTTTAACCACACTGGCCTACTGAATAATATGGTTCTGGAAAGTGCAATAAAATCTTATTAACTCAGAAAGAATTATTATCATTTTATCTCTTTTAGCAGAAAGTGTAAGTTGTAATTTATGATCTGATTTGCATTAAGTTATTAAGAGAGGCTCTGATGACTTTGTTTTGTCCCATTCAGTTTTTATATTTTAGGCGTTTTGCATCTTCATGCCTGCTGAAAAGAAAGGAAAAAATAAAATAAGGCAACACACAGTTCTAGATAATTTTCTTCCATATTTGGAAGCGTTACTTTTTTTCTGTTTTGTATTTTTTATGTATATTTATTTTCATGCCACTGCTACTGTATAAAGAAGTTAATTTACATGATCAACTGAGATACTGAACTGTAATCTGTGTCAGAAATGGTGAATAAATTCTCTAAATTAAGTTTTTTAAGTGTGCTGTTTTTGTTTGTAATGCAACTGGTTATACTTTTATAATTACCTACAGTACACTACACTACATTATTTAACCTACTTTATTTAATCTGCTGAAAACTTAACTCAATTAATTGCTATAAAATTACAGAATATAGTGGGGAAAAGCCAATCAGCTATTACTAAAGCCCAAGATTGAATCTGATTGAAGTCTTATTTTGTATAACTAACAATCCAAAACCCAAAGATATTCAGTTTATTATCATATAAGACAAAGAAAAGCAGCAAATCACCGCAACTGATAAAAACGAGAATAATTCAACAATGAAAATAGTTTATTTGCTGATTAATTTCCTGTCAACGGACTCACCAACTCATTGTTTTGACTCTAACTGTATTTTTAGGACTTAATTGACTATTTAGGATGAACATTCTTCCTAATAATTAACTATATTATTTTTTAAACTTTACACCTGTACCAGTCTGTTCCTATGCGTAGCCCTTTACATTGACTTTTGCCAGCTACATCTCCATTCAAGATGAATTACATGAATTTTCTGACATATTCTTCTTTAACGAGTATCTTCATTTATTTAGATAATATACTAAATATAATATAATTAAATCTTATTTCATTTTAATTTTTTTACAGAACGTAACTTAAACATGAACTTTCAGCACCTTGAAATATTGGTAATCAAATATAATAAATACCTGATAATTAAATAATTAGAATCAAAACGTATCTTTGTCTCCTAGTTATTTTGATCATAACATGCATGTTTATTACATAACAACAGCCTGAACTGAAGCTGACTGAAGTAGTGGCTCCCCTGTTGTTAACATACAACCCCTGTTCTCACCTGTCTCACCTGTCTCACCGTCTGCTCCACTACTTGTCTTGATGACGCACACCCTCGTCGCACTTCCAGGATCGCGCCATTGTCGAATCGACCCTCTGTAATAGCCACAAACGCCGAGCCGCACATGCGCAGGAGGCCCGGCAACGACACGCATTCTGCGAATAGTCCTCCCTAACACAACACGTAGCACAGAGCTTTGACACAGTGTGCGTATTTTTAAATACAAAGCTTCTCTCCCGCTTCACGGTCCTTCAATCTGGTAAGGTACTGTTCTGCACATCTTCGGGTGTCCGAGTTTGGTGTGTCGCTGGTTTATCGTGCAGTTTTTGCGGTTTGGTGCAGCGGGAAGTACGGGATGCTTCTAACGACGACGTCCATTTGATAACGCTGCAGGCTGCTGGGGCCCCCGCTTAATTTCGAAGAATAAAAAAATAAAAAACAAAAAAAAATGAAAACATAAAAAACCCCTAAATCTCCGAACCAAACAAGAGCAGACCGCTCGACCATGTGAAATCCTGTGTGTTAATTATGCCAGGGTGAAACTAGCCGGATACGCTAACCAGCATGGCCTGACGACACAGGTCGTACTTTTAGGGTTTTGCTGAGTTGGCCCTAAAGCGGTCCCTGTCGGTGCGCTCTAACAGTGCGTGGATGGAGCGCTCCGTTAAGTGTTGTTATGTAAAAGAGTGCTTGATAAAGCTTTTATCAGTTCAGCTTTGAAACTTCGTAGTTGCTTATTAGCTATCGCGCTTCTCGGTGTTTGCCTGCAGCATTGTCATCTGTGATTCTATTATTTTGGCCAGTTTGGCCAGAGGAGCCGCAGTTTTCCCAGGAAGAGCCTGTGACGCCGGTCCAGGCTGCGCCTATGTCTGGATTTCAGCCTGAACCCTGATACAAAGTGTACCCCGAGACGAAATACAGCGTGCTGCGGTCATCTGCATGTTTAGATCAACTGGCTGTTAGTGATACCGATCCTACAAGCCGAGCACGGTTGATGTGGTGTGTCGGCCAAGGTCAATATACGCATGGCCCGAAGAGAGAAGTTGCTATAAGTAGAAAAATACACATCCAGGTCTCATCTGCTGTTCTCTGCAAACCTAGTTTATAGTAAACCAGTAAAAGATGTCACCTAAGCTCTTAATCGTCAATGATAAGCCAGCGTTAAGATG